TGAGAGATGCTACGCAGAACACCTGAGAATTCTTCAGTGCATATCTCCAACAAATGAGTCTCATGAATACTACGAAGGAGCCCCATGAGGTGTTCGTTAGCAACTTTCCGTTAGAAATAGTGGCAAAGCATGATTCACAGGAAAATTATGAAGCTCTTCGTCTCTTTCAATCGAATGGACTTCATACAGCCATAGTAGAAAAATCAACGAATGGAGAATTTATTAATGACCTGCCAAGGGGTTCGATGATAACGAAATAGCAAACTATACATTTTCATTCCTATCACAAACAATCAGAACAATGAGCTCTTATGACTAGAGCGGAGACATGCTTATTAATCAAAATGTCTTGTAAAAATCTCAATCACTGCTTTAAACTTCATTTCTTCTTCCTAACAGCAACAAGAACACATAACTACTGAAGTGGAATGCCTAAGAACGTTAAAAGTCCTAAGGAATTAAATAAACTCTACTATAAAACTACTCAACAACTAATCACTATGCCAGCTCCTATAATGTAAACCAAAGCGACCGATATTTATATAGTTAGTCACTTTAGTCCACAATTATTTCCGTGAAGGGATCTATCAAAATGACATATGCACCTGGATATTTTAAGGGAATAAAGCAGCTAAAACTGGATTCGTTGAGTTCAGAAAGAACATGGGAACATCCAACGATTACAAACGAAAAATGACTTAAACCATAGCTGTGAGTGAAGAAGTTGTTGCACAATGAATGTGAAGTATTGGACAACACAATAAGGATCTTTAAGAGCTAACTGCATATAGAATTAAAAATCCTCTCCGAAAGGAATCAGTAATAATTAATTCACTATATCGAGTTATCAAATTAATCTAGATCATTGATGAGCATGTTCGCCCATTCAATGAGTATCTGATCGACCAAACTACCATGGTTCGGGTTTGTCGTCTGTAAGAATGCAGTGTGACCGCCTCCGTGAGTAACAACGCCCACCACCGAATCGCTTTCGCTCATCTCGGATGTAGGGATCGCTGTAAGTTATCCATTGGTAAAAGAAATTTGGCGAATTAAAACAATCACAAGGAAATTCATGGGAGAATTTATGTTCCAAAGACAATTACATAATATTACTAAAAATAATAACAATAGATTCTTCGTATTCTCGTTGAGCAAACGCGAGGTATTATTATTCTTTATTCGGTAAGCGTAGTTGAAATACCACCGAGTAATCTTAAGCGCCAGCTAGTTCGTAACCGCCTATATGACCGTCTATGTGCAACTCAAAATTGCATAATTTGCCCCAGTGGTAGAGATGGTGATTGCATGAGCTCGGGTATAGTTTATCTGATCTCCTGTAAGACGTGTGGTGACGAATACATTGGCGAAACGGGTAGACCCCTCTGTGTCCGCATGAAAGAACACCTAGCAGGTAAACATAGACCAAATACTCCGCTAGGCACGCATAGGACCCAGAGACATAAGGGAGAGGACTTTGAAGTGTGTCACGATCCTCGCACGCGAATCAAGAACACAGGCGCGAAAAACTCTCGAGGTATTCTGGATTAATTCCAGAAATCCGGAAATGAACCGCAGGGAAGAATGCCTCATTATCAAACGTGATATAGAGCAGTATATAAAACTGCTTTTCTGATGTGAGGGGCACATTATGCTTCCATGTGATTTCTGTGCGGTTGGTCTCTACGTGGCATACTTAGTGGAAACCTCATAGAAAGCGGTGAGTGTGCAAAGCTGTGTTCAATGTGATTGAAATCTTGGTTTGGAGTTTCTTTGTTTGGTTATGGAATCGTTTGGTCGAGTAGATTGCTATCAACTTGACCTTTCCAGGCTCTGATGAAGGCGAAATCCGCCGAAACGTCAGCTTATTCGTGAATAAAGAATAATAACACCTCGCGTTTGCTCAACAAAAATAGGAAGAATTACTTGATCAATGCCGAGGTTAATAGAAAGTCGGCCGTGGAAATAACAATAGAATAAAAGCAAAAAAATAACAGCAAGGGTATAAACTTGATATCCAGAAAGATCATTCTTGAACCTGAGAAAGGCAGTTATATAACCAATAATGACATTTCAGAAATATAATACACGTGGTCCGCACATACCCTTACTTGGACTGAAGCAATCATCATCAGCATTAAGACAAAGAGTTGGAATCGGGATTCTCCCCACCTTAAAGTGACATAATTTAGAACTCAATACAGCGTAAGATTGATTTCAAAAAAAGGACATGCGACATATAACGAAAAAAAGAAAAGACAAAAATTCGCTTCTTTCTTGACGACCACAAACGTTGTTATTTTACTATTTATTAACAACAGTTGCTTCGGTGAATTTCGTCTTTTTCAGAGCCTGAAAAAGTTAGGTTGGCTGCAGCCTAGTCAGTAAAATACCTCCATGATCTCCAGGGAAAAGCCACGAAACCCAAATTTTTCAGCTGCACTAGGATGAGAACAGCTTCCTCACATGTTAGCCGTTCTCTACGACTCTTCCATTGAATCTTACACGTGTAAACCAACCGCTTAGAGTTCACATATACCTGATACAGTGTTATCTCTCAAGTTAGAATATCAGTCTGAGATATTGTATGAAACAACGAGTGACAGTGACACATTTCTCACTGCAGTTCACTTTTTGATTCCTGGAAATTACCGAGGACGTCTCCAAGGTTTTACGCGCTATAGTTTTAGACTTCTGTAGAGGGATGGTAACTTCCAATTGAAAATATTATCCATTACGCGTCTATATCCTCTGAGTGCCTAGTGATACATCTGGCATAACCTTAATTACCCAACAGGTGTTCCTCAATACGGATGCAGAGTGGTCTACTCTTTACACCAGTGTAACCGTCCCCGCACGTTTTACTAGAGATCAGATAAATTGTGCCAGAACTCATACAGTCATTGTATAATGCAGTTTTGAGTTGTACATAGATGGTCATACAAACAGTAATAACTATCTGGCGCCTTAGAATACTCAGTATTTCCGTTAGACACATCGTTTGGGAGAGTGGCTCTTCTCCTAAATTTTCCTTCCTACCTCTTCCTCCATGAACAGTGGTGGCTGTTCGGAACATGATTTTCACAAGCGTTCTTTTTGTGTAAGATTGATGAGAGGAAACACAATGATCCAGTACGTTTTTATCACTTGGCCTCCTGTAACACTAGGTGATGCAGCCGTTTTCGGATAGGTTAACTCGAATGCTCAGAAATAGGAACCAGTTTTATTCCAGTTCCTCTCGGCTGAATGTTATGTATCCTGACTGTTCGTTCAACAACTCGAAACGTTTGTCCATCTCCTCTTGCGTTTAGCGATGACAAAACAATCATCTACATATCTATGGTAGAGTAATGGGCTTAGATCGACTAGTGGATCTTCCATCTCTAACATAAAGGCAGAAGTACGGCTTGGTGTCATTCGCTGTCCCATTGGCAACCCTTTCATTTCTGCGAAATACTTTCGGGATCATATAAAAATTGGACAGTTCAAGCACCCTTCTAAAACACCCAGGAGCTCCTGAACTGGAGCGCATAGCGGCCATTCGACACGTCTCAAGGGTGGTAATGTCGAAGGACTCCATCACGTGCGCGCCGTTAGGACGCGTATTATGCCGACGGCCCAAAAATATAAGTCGGAAAAAGAGGGATCGGTAGCAGTGATTGACATAACATTGAAAACTCTAATATTTCAGCTACTTTGTACCCGTACGCACGACTGTCTATGCACAGTGCACATCTGCACAATGTGCACTAGCGAAAAAGACGTTGATTGCATAGGTTCGTGTACGATGTACCTGCTTTCTTGTAAAGCGAACACAGAGAAATACATTAACGAAATCGGTAGACTACTCTGCATCTGTATAAAACAACATTTAGTAGGTAAACATAAAGTTAAACCAGATACACCACTAGGCGCGCACGGGGAAGATTTTGAAGTAGAAGTTACCATTCTTGCATAGGAATTTAAAAAATCCTTGAAACATTCACGATAAATTCTGAGAGTCCAAAAAGGAACAGTAAGGAGGAACGCCTCATTAACACGCGTGATCTCACTCAATATCTCAACCTAATTTCTTCATGTGAGAGAGGTACATTACCCATCCAACCGAACTCTGCACGATTTCTTTCCATGTTGATGACTCGGTGAAAGACTCATAGAAATATAGTGATTGTGTTAAGAAGCCGTTTTGCTTCCAATTCGATTTAAATCCAGACTTCGTTGCTTTTCTGTCGATTTTACTGAGGTATTTAGCTTATACTGCAGTCAGCGTGACTTTCCGAGGTTTGAAGAAGTTGAAATCAGCCAAAACGTCAGCTACTATTAATAGATAGTATAATGAAAACCTCGTGTGTACTCATCGAGAAAAAAGCCAATTATTGATCTTTGTCTAGGTTAACAGAAAGTCGGTGTTGAGAAAAGGTAACATTTTAAATACGTTGAAAAGAACTGCTTAAAAGAATAAATATGATCTTCATGAGCTAATGAAGAATCTACAGATCTATTTTGACCAGTTTCGACAGTACCTAGATCTCTTTATTTTTTAACTTTGGTTAATTCATGTTCGAAAGACGGGAACGAATACGAATAACACCTTTTTGTTGAGTGCTGCATGGTCATAGTAATGATCAACAGAGTCGTATCCGAAAAGTGGAGCAGTAAATCTGGCATCGAACTCTCGTATAGTCACCGACTTCAAAACGTGATCGAAGTCCATAACTTCGTGATTCTCGAAGTGCTCCTTATACCTGCAAGTGTAGGAGAAACATGCACAGCCTACCTACAATCAAGTTGAATCAGTGTGATGGACACAGCCAAATATCGTCGAACAAATCAAAAATATACTCATAGGACTGCTTACCTTTCTGCAAAAGCAACCAACTTTCTTGTAATGTGACGGTTATAGGTATGCCTAGCAAAGAAGCTCTGAAAAGAAATTTTGCCTTGCTGTTTAGTTCTTGAGTTTCTCCAGGAAAAGTAATTTTTGAATATTTCAATAGAACTTAATAGGAGCAAACAATGGTGGTCGAAATCGCTACTTCTAAAGAGTTAGTAGTCGAGGATGGATCATATGGGGCAGAGACAACGAGCGCACCACATAGAATAGCAGATTCTGCAGTACAGGTAGCCAGGTAATTGAATAACACCATTCTAAATAAGATATCCATCAAAAACGCTAGAAAGCACTTTAGACATCCAAGATCGTAAACAAACCCTCCCATACTGAATCCACATCCAATTATTTTAGCTTTCGGATATTTACATGAGATCCGCTGGATAACCTCAGCAAGATCGTGATGACGAACTGAATTGTATGCTCTGAAATACTAAGTTATAGAAAATGACACACTGTATATACGATACTCACTGAATAAAAGACAAATGCAACAACAAAGATGCTAAAATATTCGCAAAACTTGGACCCTAGGCCAGGCCGAACCAAGACTACCCTTTCCAGGGGCTCGCGTATTACCTACTGCACCACTAAGGCCCTTGCTTTGCGTTTCATTCCGCTGAAAGACAGATCGTTTGCTACAAATGTAACTCAACCAGATTCGAAGGAATGTGTGCTGAGCACAATGTGTTGGTTCAAAATTCAGGTCTCGAAACGAAATCGAGGCATTGTCATTCATGATTCAAACAAAAAAGCCATCTTAGAAGACGCCTTCGAAAGCCGTTCGTATACAAAGTGCTTTTCATTCGCTCTAAACCGTGTATTTCAATAATCTTGCGACGAGTGACAACTATAAATGCCCTAATGGTTCGGCGGAAGCGAGCCAGTAAGACACCTAAAGGTCTCATTTCTTTCCGATGGTTTGTTATAATATAGAAGTATTTACTTTCAATTTTTGTTACCAGCTGATAGCTTATTGAACACTGATGTTGTACTGGACGTGGGTCACGAAAAGCTCTATTCTGCCCTTAGAAATATGTAAAAAACCCATGTTTAGTACCAGTATTAAAAACATAACCGGGGAATTCTGGGAGGACCATACCACTCCGATCTAAACTTAGATAACGGTAAGTACCGGTGTGCTTTTATCAAACCTGCAACTGTAATGAATGCACCAGCAGCTTTCGAATCATTCTTAATCTCTGATGGTGAGTGAAAAATTCCTACTGGAAACGATACAAAGGCACCAAATGCTGTTGTATTTACAATCAATATACAAAAGCAACCGTTTTTCGAACGAGTCCACAAGCCAAAAATTTGGGTACAATGAACGGTAGTAATCGTATAATCTGTGAGTATAAAAAATACTGAAATAGAGATCCATAAGTTGCAAAACACTTCCAAGTACTGACAGAAAAGTGTTTGCACGATGCACTATTGTAATATCCAGTAAATAACATAACGAATAACACTATAAGCGCTATAGGGGGAGCGTGTAGCGCAATGGTCGGAAGCGCACTCCAATACACATAGGATCGATCCCCGCGTCCCAGGCCCTCCTCCCTCCAGAGTCGGCAAATTGGTACCAGACTTGTCTGGGGGATAGCAGCACTGGCTCGATACATCGGAAGGCCACAAGGAATCATTGTAAAGCCCAGATATGCATTCAATCACCTCCAAACGATGCTTAATGAAGTCGAATGCATGGCGCATCCCTCAGGATTGATCAACGCCGAGAGCTTTATCCTTTTTTCAATTATACCCACTGAACGATAGAGCACTCTCTTTTCCACAATCAACTCACGTTCACAACACATAAAGTACTCTAGCTATCGAAAAACTTCTGTTTATTTTCAAAATAGCAGCAACTCCATAAGGGCTGGATATTTGTACCCACTTCATTATCGACGAACCCGAGATTGGGCATCATCGCACGAGCGTTAAAACTCCACAAGAGAAATTAAGTACATGTATTTGGCCCTTCAACTTGTAAAAAAGGTTCTATAGAAACAAAAGCTTAACACAAACAGATTACAACAGACCAAAACCCACATCTTATTGCGAAGATGAACCCCTCCAAGTCCGCGAGGATTATAAACGACTGTTCGCCATTTACGCGCACATATTTCCTGTGCTGGATACAGTATGTATGCGCAATCACGAGTTGAACCTTAAAAAAAGTTGGAGCAATGAATCGACCGAGAACATTTTAACAATCGAAATAAGCAATTTCTTAGCGTTTATACGTCCTATACAGCCTCGAAATTTCACAGAAACTATTGGCTGGTCTACTAGATTTCAGCTACAGCACAATTCTCTTCCTTTTACTACCCAAATATCAGTGTTAACAACGTGGATTTCCGTTCTATGCATGGATTTTAGCCGTTGCATTTTATGGAGCGAATCTAGCTCCAAAGAAGAAAGCGCAAAAGAGTGCCAATTGTCAGAAATGTAAATAATATATTGCACACAGAAGATGGACGCGTGTGGGGCAATGGTCGGAGGCGACGTTCAGTACAAATGGGTTCGATACCCACGTCCAAAACCTACCAAGTCCTCCAACCATCAGAGGTCGGCAAATTGGTACCAGAGTCGTCAGGAGTATAGCACTGGCTCGATACATCGGTAGGTCACCGCGAGTCATTGTAAATGCCAGATATGCATTCACTGACCTCCAAACGATGCTTAATAAATACGAATGCGTGGCCGATTTCTCAGGGATTAATCAACGCCGAGAGCTTTATCCTTTTCTTTAGCTTTTTGCGTAAAAGATAAACTAATTGCCATTGAGTAACAGAATGAATTAAGAACATAAGTAGTCACGGCAAAAAAGAGATCAACCCGACAACGTTCTCCACGCCAACATATCTCTGATTCGCGTAATCACTATAAGAAGTGTGATACTTCCGTTCTTACTACACTAAGACAGAGCAGAAGTAGAACATACGAAGACATCGTTTCGATAATAATTAGCAACATGTTAAGTACAATAAGTATCAGTTCGTTCAAAAACGAAAGAACAAAGTTATAAAGAATAGAAGGGAACCTGTTATTCCGGGTAAAAATAAAATTATTGGTGCATCATCTTCACAATCATTTGGATGTAACCAGTCGATACCCAATGCACCGCCATCAGCGAATTCAATCACTTCTCTAAATAGAACTACACCTGGTTAAGAGTAAGTATTGGAAACGGATCCAAGGAGAAACGAAGGGGTGGGTAAAAAACAAAGATCAAGATCTTTAGATTACAGAACAAACACTTGAGAAAGTAAGGGATTAAACTATTAACTAGCAATGTAACCCTACCTTACAAAAGGTAATTGAGGACACTTGCGTAGTGCACCACTCACAATCGTTTGCACATCACCAAACGGACACCACCAAGGCGGAAAATAAACCTGAAGTCGAGAACATAACTTCAAAAAAACGAGATAAAACCAGCTTATCAAATATTCCTCATCACCCTATGACATCTCTATAATATTTCAACTGTTCTGTTTGAATAATGTACTCAGAGTTTTAGAAACAATAAGGAGTGCGTCGAACAGTTCAACAATGACCACGACGTTTTTAGACGAGCAAAGTGCCTTTCGATTAATACATCTTCCATGACTACATTCCGCTTCAACTTACTAAGAAAGTTTTTATTTCAAGACGTTGTTCCAGACGATTCAAAAGAACTCTAAAACGATAAAAAAAAAAGGATTAGGCTCTTGGCGTTGACCAATCTCTGAAAGATGTGCCATGCAAATGACTTCACTAAGCATCATTGGAGGTGATTAGATGCGTATCTGGCCTTTACTCGCGGTGGCCTGCCGCTGTAACGAGTCAATGCTGCTGTCCTCACAGACATGTTTGGTACCAATTTGCCGACTCTGGAGGGATGGAGGGCTTGCTGGACCTGGGGCGCGTGGATAGATCTCTTGTGTATTGCACGGCACCTCCGACCACTGCTCTACAAGCTCCCTATTAGAAAGAATACACCATGACAATCTATCAAACTTAAGCATTACACGACACCATAACCATTTTTTTGTGTGGAAAAGATGTAATATCGCTATAGATCAACTTAGGAATTGAAAAGTCGATCCAATAGAAATTTCCGAAAGCTGGGAAGGTGAAAAGAGTAGGACGACAGCTGAAGTGTGAATGAGGATTCATCATATTAATACTACCGTATTTCCTAAAAAGTTTATAGTAGAAGAACTAAGATAAATAAAAGCCCGGATAGGGACTTACCTTTTTCAATACCGGTAAGTAATTCTCAACACGCTTCAACAGCTTACCACCCGGTCTTGCATAGATCTTTGGCTTCTGTAATTATGCATACTCGAGTATTTGCATGGCATTTTTCATCGAACCATGTGGATCCTTCATAATTTCGATTGCTCTGTCAACTGAATTTCTCGCCATAGGAGATCCTGCTAAGAGACAAAACCCCGATGTATATTACAATTAGGTACCCGAGAACTCCCAACAGTTACGTGTCATAAATCATTAATGGATACTAGTTTTGGTGACTGCAAGCCTTCAAGTCTATTCTCATTGTATACGGAAATTTAAACTAGAGATAAATTATCCTACTTTGTAAAAATCACAAAGGATGAGAAACAAGCTTGCAAAACTAATTTACTCAACCTACACAAACGCTACCACAACCTCGCACTGACGTATTTTTGTTCTCTTAAAGGATAAAAGGATAAAGCTCTCGGCGTAGATCAATCCCTGAAAGATGGGCCATGTACTCGACTACATTAAGCATCGTTTGGAGGTGATTGGATGCAGATCTGGCTTTTACAGCGACTCACAATGGGCTACCGATGTGTCGAATCAGTGGTGCTATCCTCCCAGACGAGTCTGGTACTAATTCGTCCCCGCGGACATGAAAGGCTTGGTGGACCTAGGGCACTTGGATCGATCCCACATGTACTCCAGGGCGACTTCGACCAATGCGCTACACATGCCCTTTTTGTTCTCTTAGTCCACTTTAATGTGTAATTTACAACAAATTTCACCAGCTAACATCATGCTAGGCTAGTTGTTACATAACAGGTGATAATGGACCATTGTTTCTTACTTGATCAAAGTTCCGAAATCCATGAAATCGTTCATGTAATTTTCTCTTCGAAACCTAATTATTTTAAGGGATATCCATACAAGAGCATTCACTCTGTAGACTTCACGTGGTTACACCACAAGAAATGAAATGTTCAGCAGGACATATCAGCTGAACACAAAGAGAACTTATTTTGGTCCACAAGCTCATGTCACGACTATGAAGGGGAACTTGCCCAACCATCAAAATAGAAGTCCCATAGAAGTTTTACTGGAGTCTCACGATCCAGGAAATCCAAGTAACATTTACTTTCTCACGAATGTAATGTGTATATCACAGTACATGCGTGGGTTGACATTATTTTGCATTCTTCAAAAAGTATAAGAAGACTTTTCGTAGTTCCGCAGCTTTCCTTTTTCTACCAAATAACTATCAGCTTCTGAAGACTGATAAACTATAGACGACTGAGATGATTACATCATACCTGAGCGGTGAGCTTAGAATAAAGCCAGAATGAAGCCGGTACAACAACGACAACCAGTCCAATCACAGCTAGCATGCCTATAGACTGAATCAAGTATAACTGAAATAACTCAAAAGACCGACTTTCTATAAACATCGGCATAAATAATCGATATATTTATTTATATGTTCTTATGAACTGATCTTGCTGAGCTGATGCAAGGTCGATATAAATTGATGTTTTTGTTGCTGCTGTTGCTGCTTTTGCTGTTGTCGTTGTTGTTGTTGTTGTTTGTTGTTGCTATTGCTGCTGTTGTTGTTGTTCGTCGATGACTGACGTTTCGGCAACTTCTCCCTCCTCAGAGCCATGACGTTGCGACTACTACTAGTGAATCTACAACAACGACAACAACAACAACAGCGACAACCCATACCAACCTCCCATCAGCTTAGCAAGATCAGTTCATAAGACCATATAACTGAAAATAACTGAAATGTTAAGGAACTAGATCTTCACCATGAAATGCATAAACCAAAACATTTATAACAAGTAACGACCGCATTAGTAGCACTGAATTTTCAGCACGAGAACGATATTCAAATGAAACCAACCTTCGTTCTTTCAGAGTTCCTGGCCAGAATGTTCAGTAATCAGTTGAATATACACCATGAACTATGCAAAGTCCATCACAAACACCGGAATTCATCTGGCATGACAACGAAGTAATGAAGTTTTACTTAACAAAGAGACGCATGACCGCGAACGGAACCTGGGTCGGTCGACACCATCGTATTCCATGTTCTACTCCTCCTTACTATTATAACAGTTGTTATCGCCCACTAATAGCCGTCGGAGCAGGTAAATAATGCGGTCGACATTTTTCAAATATGTATGAGTGTAAGCCTCCCAACATGAAGTTTAGCGCCTCATCGTGGCTTGGAGGTATTCCTGGGTGTCGGGCTGCGATTTACAGCGGGGTGATTCATTCACCAGCAGGCCCTCCCAAGTTGAGGAGTCCGTCGTTTCTATTAGGAAACCGAACTAAAAGTAAACCGATACCAGGATCCACTACCGCCCTGGTACCAAACTAGTCCCATGGTGGCAAATCTCCCTGATCCACAAGAGCGGCGACTGCCTGTGGTGGTGACGACAGCCTGTGGCGGACTTTGGCTACGCTGATCTCGGGACTTCAGGGAACCACAATGGCTAAACCAGCAAATCTCCGGAGAATGGAAATTATGCTGGGGCCTTCACAACCAGTGAAGGCGGTCCATCCAAGTATACAAGTATAACTACAAAAACCGGCTGGGTCCACTTACATCCATTCAATTATATAATTATCTCCCTTCCGACGATCACTGTCGCCACTATTACATACCGATGTTATCGTTATTACTATAATATACCATATGGGTGACAGACAGGGAAAACGAAGGACGCACGTGGTGTGGTGGTGAGCGCGTTAGCCCCCGGAAAGCGTAATAGCGTGTTCGGCCCCATCGCCGACACCACCGGTCTGGAGTTTTGCAAATATCTTAGCAACATTATGGTTATTATGATACTTCTAACAAATTATTATTACTAGTGTTATTATTACTGCCGTAAGCGGTTCTCCTCTGAAAAACAGTGATGACGATTCCCAAATTACTGGGATTCAGCACAATGTTTCGCTAAGCAAATAATGTACATCCCTTAGAGATATAAGTACCTGAGAACCAAATAAAACTTCCCCACGACCTAATTGTGGGAACTCTCTAAAGGAACGTTAACTCCTAGAGATTTCTCAAGAAGTAAAAAACACCTGCTACATTTCCTTTGTTGCTATAATAACGTGACGATACATTAACTGAATTGCGCTATATATATTTGAAAATGAGATGAGGTGAAGATGTTATTCGAGGTATATCAGCAAACTAAGAAGGATACCTTACTAGAAACATCGATTCGGATGGTAAAACATAACTGGTAAATGGGGTTGACCATGGTCACAAGGTTGGCTCAGAATCGTGCTCCAATGACAAATTCATGCTAGCGATGTGAAATTTAGCTCAATAGACCGACTTTCTACAAAACTTGGCAAAAATGATCGGTATATTTATACGTTCTTATGAAATGATCCTGTTGAGCGGACGCGAGGTTGGCATAAGTCGTCGTCGTCGCTGTTGTTGTTGTTGTTGTTGTTGTTGTTATAGCTGTTGTTGTCGCCGTTTTTGTTGTCGCTGCTTTTGTTGTCGACGCTATTGTCGTTTTTGTTGTTGTCCTTGTTGTTGTTGTTGTTGTTGTTGTTGTTGTCATAGTTGTTCAATGGCTGATGTTTCGACGATTGTGGAGTAGGGTGGGGAATGGGGTCCCACTTGCAACAACACGGCTCTGAGGAAGGCGAAATTGCCGAAACGTTAGCCATCGAATAACAACAACAACAAAACCGACAACAGCAACAACAACAACAGTAGCAGCGACAACTTTTACCAATTTCGCACCAACAAAATAAGGGCAGTCCGTAAGATGTGAAGTTTCGACTGGTTATCTGCGTATGACGGATAAAAGATGCGGGATGCTCTTTGCAAGTAAAACTACTATTAATTCAAGAACGGCAGGAAGATTAAGGGCTTAATCCTCCGTGAGGATAATGGATGAGCTCATTGTTTGCTGAACGAGCTTAGCTTTGGAACAATTTACCGGATTATAGTCGTCTATGCTCCGTTTATGATGACTTTCTGAAATGTTTAGCGTCTTATAGAAGTGTGTAAGGAAGAATTTGTATCATCAGGCTCACATGATTGGGTTCTAAGTATAAGAAATACCTACTAGTAGATTGCGTTGCGCTCTACCTGTTACATGTCATCTAACCCTAAGAGCAAATCACTCCCCTTATATAAGGAAGTTCTTTGATGGTATAGTACGCATATAGAATCACCTAAAGACCTGATCCGGTAAATAACACTCTACGTAGTTTTGCCCAATAAGATTTAGTACCTGCTTGATCGAAATTATAGCGGTACCAGAATTTGTTACCTTGTTGTTGTTTCAGTTTCCTTGAAGTTGTCACATCTACGTTACCTGTCGAGTGCTTCACAAGCATAACCAACTAAGATTCTTGCGTTATAAGTTAGCTGGTCTATGTCCGTACCGGTAACATAGAGCGTGGAATAGAAGCAATTCTACGTTGCAAATATGTTCTTGTAGAAAAACCAGTACAGCAAATAGGTTTGAAATAAATGACACAAAACTCGTTCATGGACGGTACGAATAGGGGAGCACCGAAAATGAGATGGTCAGTACGTCTACCTCAAGTAGGTCATGAAAGCTAATGAGAGTGAAATCAAGACGACAAGCAGTTTCCATTTCGAGTAAACTTTTAAGCTAGGAAGTAGTGATAGGATGAACAAGAAGTAGAACTGTTACGAAGAAGTGCCATTAAAATTGACGAAAAAAGCTACCTGACAATGTAAAGTGATGTGGAGAGTTGTAAAACGGAACGGAACGGTAGACGAAAGTGCGCAAATGTTCCGTCCAGAATGAGTGAATCAGGTAGGGAATAATGTAATTTCTTTATACTTGATTCTATGCAAGTTCGTCTGTAGTAAAGTAAAGGGAAAGAACAGTAAAAAACTGGAAGATTCGTAACACTGCTGATAAGAAATGGATTAGAGGATGCCCTGGAGGAGCTATTCACTAACATGTAGGGATCGTCGGACTGAAAGCAGAGATAGAACTTTAGAAGCAATCAATATGTGACATTGATGCGAGAGGTTTTGACTACGTTAAACTATTCTCATCCATGAAAGAAAGATCACCATAGCAGCATAGATGAATTCCATGGAGATTAAAACCTTTTATTGTAATGTTTAAGTCCCGGATCCTTGGATAGGAAAGCAACAGAAATCCAAGATCGAACGAAATTATGAGAGAAATGCTTGAAAATGGAATATGAATACTATGGGAAAGACTGACGACCTTGTTGTTGGCAGATTCCATGCATCTAGAACATGTAGACTGTGAAGAATAGAAATTTCTGTGCCAACAAATAAGATGAGAGAGAAGATCTGGAAGAATGCCATTCTATTTTATGAAATCATTTATGAAGTCTATACCAACATACAAATGAATGGTATCTGTCGACAGTTGCAGAATAAAGAACAGAATGAGAGAGACTTCGAGGAAAGAAGCCATTCTACGATAGGCCATAACTAAACCACACTTTGAATTTTGGTAAAAGTTCAAGGAATTAAGACACCATAACAAAGGATTCGTGACATTTCTTGTAACAACAGTCCGTTGAGAGAAAAGCAAACCGAAGGTCTCAGTGGCTGGCGCAGTGTATAAAACGCGATCCCCTGGAAGGGATAGCTGTGGTTCGATCTGGTCTAGGTCCAAATTCTGCGAATATCGCAACATCACCGAGGTTACAATTCATTCGCTTCTTAGGCACCAGAATTGATCTCTACGCACAGGGTTGGACGCATATGACTTTCATGGTTTCATAGAGCACGAGCCGCTATAAGCTTTTTACACCTCTGACTTGCTTCATGTACATCAGATTTCTTCTTTTTTGACACTGCATAGAGTATGATGTATATCGTAAAGTCAGTGCAGAACGATCACGGCGATTTCAATCAAATGTTACACAGACTCAATCAACGATTTGGAAAAAAAGATGCACAAGTAATAGAACCGAAACCCTATATTAGCAAAGGTTCTTAGCGAGTTTGGACGGTCATTTAACGCTCTCTTTCGGGGTAAATTCCATAGGAATTGATATAGTGCCATTAAAAACTAGGAACAATGAGATCGGTCGAAGATAAGGAAAGCAGCGGTGTAACGTTGTCCATGACACGTTGTTGAAGTTCAAGGAAATGCACCCGATAGAAATGCAGAAGTGTTTTTGGATGTTTATTTGAAACTGCTCTTTGTTAATACCATTACGCTTCTATAAGAAATCTATTAAAATACCTAGACTAAGTTTGGCAAGACTTCTCCATGAGGTTCCGGAGAACGTGTACGATGACCTCACCACCTGTCACGGCTACTTGTCAACAATTATGGATTGGGGTGAGGTTCATCACAGCGGTATTGGATTTCTTGTAGAGGCATCCTCGCATGCGTTTACTCGTGATCAGGTGTCCGCCTTAAATTCCACAATTTTCTCCTGGGTATTACCTTGTAGGAAAGTACAATAGGATGTGGCGTAGTAGAAACAAGATTCCCTTCGGTTGCCTTCTGTCTCAAGACAGATGTACACATGGTCGCTTTCTATCCACATTTAACCATTCCATCTTCTAAGACGACACATCAGGCTATTTCGACTCTAAATTTTTCAGCATTCCACGTACGAGTAAGGTTTGATTAATATGTATTCTTTCTTTGATTAGCTTGCACGAGGCTGATAAATAATGTTTGCTTTCGGCTAACGTTTTGACGTCTTCGTCTTCTTCAGAGCCGATGATCCGAGTCGATGTCCACAGTCATTCCCGTTCTCAATGTGGTGTGTTCGTTTTCGCATCGAGCCGGATCTTCTTTGGCGAAGCAGCTTCACTAAAAAATATCCGCCTTGATGCAACTACGGAGGCACCACTTCGAGAACACGAACGACTCTGGACAACGACTCGGATCATCAGCTCTAGGGAAGACGAAGACATCAAAACGTTAGCCGAAAATAAACATTATTTATCAGCCTCGTGTAAGCTTCTAAAAGAAAGAATACTTATTGATCAGTTATACCGGGGCTAAAGGAAAGTCGATTTTGAAGTATTATGTTGTTATTAATGTTTAAAGCTTAAAAATCACATTAATCATAAGCCAAGAACACTCTGACGACCTTTTTGTACCGTCCAAATAACTATTCATATCTACAAGTGGCTAAGCATAATCCATGCACTTGCTATCTTGTTATAAATAATTTTGAATTATTATTTTACTTTCTTAGTCCACTATGCGATGATTATACTAAGAAGAGGATCTGTTAGATTCAAATTTTTTTTAGATGAGCTGATGATTGTGGTGTTACCGTTTTCTACGAGCTTTGAACTAGGTTGACTCATCGGCTCTTGGATTAATTCAGCACCTTTTGCTAGCTTTTACGTCCTAGGTTTTGTTTTTCATCGTTCTCCCCTTAAGGCAGGCTTTTGGCTATTCTTACAACACGGATTAAATTTGTCTTACTTTAACCACCTAGCAATGTCAACAGTTGGTGGGGTTTCATTAAGATCTAATGCATTCACTGTTCGAAACATCGTTAAAGTATTGGACACGTTAGACAACCGGAAGCTTTTTGGTGTTTTAGGTTTTCCTATTGCCAGTTGTTGTAATGTTCATAAATAGAAGTTATATCCTTCATAGTCAGCTTGTTCTCCAAATCTAAAAGTTCTCCGCAGTTGTAACGTTGGTTTTCTTCATGAAATTCTTGAGAACGAATTTCACGACAGTGGCCGTGATCGAGCTCATATATAGCGTCACGCCAGGATGGGTTTGCAATCGTGTCGATTTGTCATCTCTTCATTTACCTTCTTCGTCCACCTTTTACGAAACGAACGCTCGGTTCATGAGCTACATTCCGGTTTTTGATGTATCTAATCTCTGTAGTGACAAGATAAAGGGTTTTTAAATAGTTTCTAAGCAAGGTCACTGAAAAAATGCCCAACGTTCCATTTTTATCCAGAAGATCAGCTGAGATTAACCCTATGCTATGGCAGAAACTGTCACTTTATCACGTGCTACCTTCTTGCCGGTAAAATAAAGGAACCGCTGAAAAAAAGGACCTTTGTCCAAATTTTGTTGATGCACTTCGTCTCTCCAGGAGACGCTGAGGTAGCCCTCTGAGGTGTTCTTGCACGCGTCAGAGACGAATAAAACTTATTCGAGATAGTTGATAATTAACGATTACAGGGGATAGGCGAAGCTACTAAGTTATCTAGAACCTAAAGCTCGTTTTTTTAAAGAACTTTTACACCTTATTTTTAAGTGAAGTTTTAGGCTGCAATTTTAATAACCGTTTTCAATGTTTAGTACATCATTTACCTAAGGATCGTTAACGACAGAATAGTAAGAAAGGTTTTAATAGTTGCGTGATAGAAACGGCAACGTTGATAGGAACTAATGGATATGTTGTTAATATTGACAATCATCTGAAAATGTTCGCTGGAATAGTCACAAGAAAATTCGGTTGAAGAAGTGCTGAAGAAGATTCCGATAAAGGTTATAATGTTCTTCATTGATTCGGTGCTCGAATTCTGTGGATTTGATTCAAAATGATAACAAACAACAACGTAGCAAGGACGACCATCTGTGGACTGGCGACTCGGATCAGTCCGGCTCTGAAGAAGACGAAGTCGTCGAAACGTGAGCTGAATAAGTACTCTATACTAACGTCGTGGTAGCTCAGTAATCCAAAAGGATATTGAAAGCTATGACGATTCATTTTTGCAGTTGGAAGTTGGAGTCATGTATTACAAATTCTCAAACCCTAAAGAAATTATTAAAGCAAAGTATTGACGGGAAATCGACAATTGCAGCAGGCACGTCAACGCATGCGTCCCAGCATTGATTAAAAGGAGAAAAAGAGTTCTGCTACCCGACCAAAGCAGTTAACTACATTCTTTGAAAATATTCATCAACAAAGTCTGTTCTAAATGGGGTTACGGAAAGCTAACAAATCCCATCCATAGAAGATTTTTGCAGGAGGATTATCATCGGTATACTTACTTACTTAGATACTTGGATTGGCCGTCCTCACTAGTTGTGCGAGCTCCAACAAACAATTTCTAATTTTTCAGAGTTTTCCTGATTCAGCCGTTGTGGTTCACTGGAGCGTCGAGGTCATCCAGACCAAAGTCTACCCAAGGTCGTCACCACCAGAGAGAATGGCCGGTGGACCCTGGTATTGGTTTACTCTTAACTGGTTTCACAATAGAAATAGAAACACCGGACTCCTTCTCATCTTGGGAGATCCTGCTGAGGGATGAATCCCCCGCTCTAGATTGCAGTCCGACACCCAAGAACATCTCCCAGCTACGGTGAGGCGGTAAACCTTTGGCAGCTATATCGACATAAGCAGAAAAAGTTATTGCAAGTGACTCAAAAATG